CTTGGACAAACCCTTGCTGATCTGTTTTCCATGTTAAGGACTCATGTTCTGAATATTTCACCCTTATCTCTAAGTACTTTGCTCCCTAGGCTTTTGGAACAACATTATTTTCCACAACAAAGAACAAAACCAGTTTCCTCAAACAGGCAGTTTGATGCCAAGCCCTGAACTCCACGGCAAACGGGTACAACCATTTTTCTGCGCAGTGAAAGTGAACAGCTTGTCTTCTAAAGGAGCTATTCAAAGCTACCCCGCTTGACTGGGAACTGATAATACACAGGGAACACACTTGAGACTTTTTCCACATACTGAGTTTATTCTTGGCTAGCCACCCTGTTTAGCTTTACATTAGAACCTGGACTTTAAGGCTTGCATTATGTATGAGAATCCAGATAAGCTTACAGCATTAATTATGCCACACAAAAGAAAACCTGCCATTAGCAATTCAATGTATCATTTACATCATCATCATAATAATGATAATTACAATTCCCTTTCTTCCAATAAATTTGGGCATAACAACTGCATCACTTTGCCATTTTGACTCCTCGCTCTTAAGTTACAGCTTCACAGGTATGCTCCTATTAACTGCAACAATTATGAAAATGAGTTTTATCACATGAACTTTTGACTGGGATCCATTACAGTGTCATTCCGCCTCTCCCACTGCATCTAGAATAACATGGTTTCAAAGTTCAGGGTGCTTTGTAAAAGCAATTTAGCTGCCGTGGGCATGCCTGGGGTACTGGCTTTTCACTTTACTATGCGAGACAACTTCCAGAGCTCTATTAGTCTGAGAGGGTTAACAGAAATTAACACACAGAAGAGGGGGTTTTGGTGTTGTCAGCCACAAACACATTCACGTACCTGTAAGTACTAGGGTGTGGAACGAGGAGTGTTGATTATGGCACCACTTTAATGAGCTTGTAAGATCATGCTTTTGTGCTAAGTAATGCACAGAGCAACCTCAGCATTCTTGTAAACAGTTTAAAATTTAAGTATTGAAGAGGATATAAGAGCGGACAAGGAACACATGGGGTGAACACTGGTGAAGGTTAATAAAATGAGCAGAGACCAAAGTCAGTCTCCGATTTTAGCAGTATCAAATAGCATTTAAAGGCCCATCTTGCATAAATGCCCAGGGGAATGAGACCTCTAGGAAGGATAGGAGAAGTCCTTCCTATTATTAGGCTCAAGAGAAAGAAAATGGAAGAGAGACCCTCCAACTTGGTGAAGAAAAAGTCCTGGTAATCTGGCTTACTGGAGCCGTGACAACAGGGTAATATTCAGCAGCAGGAAATGATACAGCGGAAGATCAAGATAACCATCATATTCAGTAAGCTCAATGGTGTTAGAAGTAAAAGGCACAGCAGATAGACATGTAGAGCCTATGAAATGATAGGAGCAGTGACCAGAAAGAGCCATAACAAGAAGACGACAACAAGCTAAAAAAAGGAAAAAAGGCAATGCCATGAAGGGATGATATCCAGGAACTGCCACCATGTCACAAATACACTTTTTTTGTTTTTCTGGTGGAGAGAAAGGGCTGGTCGAGTTACAAGGTGTGGAGATGCAGCCCTGTGAATACAGTGCTCCTGGCTAGGCTGTCTGCTCCACCCCATTCAGCCTGAAGCCGCAGCCACCACCCATCACCATGGAGCACAGAGTGCTTACCCAGCAGCCTCATCAGGGTTTCGATCCCACACTAAATAGCAAGGACAGTCACTAACAAAGCCTCAGCTGGGCAATGTCTCAACACGCTGTCACAGCCTACAGAATCAATTTCTTTATTGTTACAGAATGCAAGACAAAGATCCCAAAAGCACCCCTGTCCCAGAGCTCCACTGAAACAAGCTAACCCAGTATATGCAGATTTACAAAAGGAACGCGTTCACCTTCAGTTAAGCTGCTTTCCCAATGATCAGCACGCTCATAAAAAACACCATGATAAAGAAAATCCACATGAAAAACCTGTCCATCACTTTTGCAACCTTTTTCCATTCAATTCCTTTGGCCCGGTTTGCTTTATGGTCTCGAACACAATTAGCAATATACTCAATGTTTTTAATCAGCATTTTGTAACAGGAACAGCAATTAACAGTCTCCCTAACATCTTCACCATGAACTCCATAGCTTTTATTCAAATTTCCATTGAGCTTCTCCTTGAGATCACAGTCATCATTCCTACTGGAAAGGTGACTCCTTACCTCTTTGTGCCTCCTCTGACACCCATCATCTCCCTCTAACTTACGTTCTTCTTCCTTCTCTCTTTTTGGACTTGTGCAATTTTCACCCACATCATAAACAAAAAAGATTTTTGACATGTAGTCCAAAATAACCACTCTGGCCCATTGTGGAACAGGCTTAGCTTCTGAGCCGCAGTGATGGAGATTCATTATAATTATTGTCAATGCAGTGGAAGCTGTGATCATCGTCATAGTTGCTATGTAATACTTTCCTGGAACACAAAATAAAAACATATTGAAGATGCTACCCTAATAAGAAAATTCAATGCAGAAATAACAATGTGACAACATAGTGCTAACCATAAGTGCAAGTGAAACCAGTTTTTAAATCACCCTGATACTCTACACTTAGATCACCCTTAATTTACCGTTTTAAAAACAAAGATTACAGCCATTAAAGTAAAATCTCCCACTTGTTAGTGGCATGCCTTTATCAGATGGGTAAGTGCCTATTGTATTAGCATGGTAAATTGCAAGCCAAACCCTCTGATTTCTCAAAATACACCCATTCAGAAAACAGCTTAAAAATGTTCAGGAGCCTTGCTCTTTTCCTAGTGCCTGTAAAATTCCAATGTCAATGGCTTCATGTGGCACATTAAAAATCCCACTTCCTGATGTATTAACAAAAGTGGTGATAATGTCTTGTTGGAACTATTGACACACCCCACACCAGCAGATGGATGTTTTCCCATTCACACAGGCCAGTGAATATCCAGACTTTGCTGGTGTCCACAACTACTGCACCGACAGCTAAGAGGCCAGGCTCAGAGCTGAAAAGTGGTTCTGTTGCCTGCTGAGATTTGCTGCCTGGATTTCCTTCAGGCTGTACAAATTTTAGCATAGCTAGTCCAAACAAGGAGGAAGCTCATTCTGGCCAGGAATAGATAGCAAGTACAGCAAATGCAAGCTGTGCCCCTCAGCTGCTGCTTTTCAGGACTGAAGTGGACAGCTGACCAGCTAACCTACTGTGGCTTGTGCCAATGCAAAGAGGCAGCTCCCAGCCCTGCTGGGCTGCTGTGCAGCCTCTGCAGGAAAAGCAAGGGCTGGCATCGATGATGTAGGATGCATCACAGATAAGTGTGATGTGATCCCAGTTTTCAAAGGGGTTGGAAAGTATGGTGAGGGAGAGTGAGAGAATAGAGAAAGCAGACTGTGGTTAGGTCCTGGCTCGTTAATTTAGACAGCGTGGTAGGAGGGCAGGGAAGGTACTCCAGTACCTGCCCATATTCTAGGCAGAAATAGTTGCTGCTGGTGTGGGAAATGCATTCAACTTTCCTATTCATTGGCCAGTGTTTTGTCATATAAACAGTAATAATGAGAATAAAAATAACAAGATCTGAATTATCTTAATGAAGCTGGAAGCCAGTGCGGAGCAACTGTGTCCCTAGTCCTCCAGAAATCCCACCAGGGCGGGATCAGCCAGGGGCAGGAGGGTCCTGGCAGAAGGCAGACAGGACAGTGCTGAACACCACCCTTCTCACTACACATCAGATCTTCTGAACTCTCAGATGTAGATTATAATTCAGCATAATGGATTGCCAGGCATTACAATTCAATGCAACAATTGTCGGATATTAAGTCAACCCTGAGTGTCCCAGCCAGGCCATCCAACCACCTGGATCTGACAGAAACGTGTCTTGAAACAGTCTGACCTTGAACGTACAACTCGTGCTTACACTTTGTACTCTGGTTCTAAAATTGTTTTCCATTACTAGCTTTATTACAATGTGATAAAATAATTCTAAATGTCTAGCTATATTTAATAAATACAAAATAGCTAGCTAATATACAATTTAAAATAAACACTAACTTTGAAGGGCTTCAGCATACCGGTACAAATTCCACGCACATTTTAAGTATTTCACTATGTCTTAAAAATGCAACACGTTTACCTTCCCAGAAGCCACAGGTTGCATATGGTCTCCCTGACATAATCCATGCTATTAATAAGCCATGTTTAAAGACAAAGCGTGGAAAGCTCACCTATCAAAGGCACATTTTCAGAGGGAGGCATGATCTCTGCAACCATCAGCTGGAACACGGTCAGAGCAAGAAGAACTGTAACACCAAGAGACACTTTTTCCCCAGAGTCTGCAGGAAGATAGAATCCCAGTGGGGCCAGAAAAGAGATCAAAATGCAAGGCAGCAATAGATTAAATATGTAGAATGAAGACTTCCTTTTCAAAATCAGTGTGAAGGTCACATCTGGATAGGGCTCAGAGCAGCAGCCGTAAGTGATGACGTTCTTGACCGCTGGCATACCATGAATCTCCCATTCCACATCTTCTACAAAGTCAGAGAGGTCACCACTATCAAGAGAATTGATGATGTCTACCTGATTGCCATTATAGGTCCAGGACCCAAACGTAAGGTTGCACTGCTGGCTGTCAAAAGGAAAATAAGATACATCCACTACACATGAGCTCTTTGTGATAGCAGGTGCATCCCAAGTGATTTTCCCATCATATCTCAACACAACATTAGTATTCACTGGTTCTGAAAAGTCATCATCGGCCCTAAAAGACAGAAAAGTGACAGTCAAGATCAATAGGCAACAACTTAATGTGAGGGCCAGGGAAGGGGAGGGAGGGAAGTGCCTCACTTCACACCATTGAAAGCATGCTTCTGAAATCATATTAGTTATTTATACTGAATTTTATTAGAAACTTACTATTAACTAGTATGTAGAGATACCAGTGCCCATTAAGGCCAAATGTCAGTGCTGCTAAATTATGTTGTATTTGTTGGCCATAGCTTCTTCAAATTTGACCTCAGACAGGATACAGCAGGATAAGAATCCATTCAAAGATGAAAATAATCTGGTGGTCACTACTGGCCTGGGAGAGCAGAGAGGTGTGCAGCCCTTGTGTACCACCTTTTTGTGGGTACACAATTGTCCAGACCTCTTCAGCAGCCTCAGCAGAAAGCACTTCTGACTGCCAGGATATTCAATTCACAGTGCAGAGAAATTCAGAACAGCTTTGCTGTGTAGCATAATCAATGGCCAAATCCTGTCTATGGCTTTATTGCAAAATATTTAGATGATCAACAACAAATGTTAAGACAACAAACAAAGCCCTTGCTAAGGTAAGCTTGAAGTGATGAAAGTTCAGACACTGTGGGTCAATTCCTCCTCCAACCCCCTCCCTCCCTCAGACAAATATTCAAGCTGATTTTCTCCAGTCACACTCACTTGTTATATAGGACAATATCTGGCCTCCAAACCAAATTGCTTGGAATCCTGATAGAATCCAACCCATCATATTTATCTTTGTCCCATTTGAGGTATGCATCATACCAGCTTTGTCGAATCCATAAGTAAGCTGACAAAATTTGGTTCCTTTCATCCTGCATAAAAATGTAGAAATATTTCTAGCTGAAGGTGACAAAATCACATCTTAGATGCAGAGAGCGTTAGTTGTATAGCTTTAAAGTAGTGCCCAAAACAAGCCAGAATGCTGACAGGCCACAAAAGTACTTCTCAGATGGTACATATGCCCATACACTGTACAGGGAGCTTATTTATTTGGACTTTCTCTTGTCCAAACCTTCTTCCCCCTGTACCTTCCCTAGGTTTAATCATAGTTGTCTAAGGCTCCCAATATCTTAAGAATTTCTTTTTGCGAGCTTCAGAACACCAAACAGCTAACAGATTGAGTCTAACAAATTCTCTGAAAGCTTGGTGAGGCCTTCAATTTATAATTCAAAAGTCACAAAAGTGATTTTCCGTTCTCCTTCCAGACACATTTTCTTTTGCCTTAGAAGTATATCTGGCTGAACCAAATTTATTAAAAAGTTACTGAAGGCTAAAATAGGGAGTTTATGTTGAAATTAACTGCATCTTAGAAAAAGTATTTGCTCTCTCTATTTAAAACTCAGTAAAAGTTACCTAGAGGGTGTGATACCAACACTTAACTACAAAATAAGTCTTAACAATTCAGCAGCTGTAAGCATGCAGACTTATAATGGAAGTCTTAGTGTTGCAATCAGATGAAGAACTGGAGAACATGACCCTCGTGAGGAAGTTGTCACAACAAAGTGCAAGCTGATTTTCCAGGCAAAGGTTTTACATCTAGTACTTTTCTGCACATCTTTAGAAAAACAGAACTGTACTCTTACCATGTCTTTAATTTGGGACAATGTGATCTGAAGGGTGACATTCAGTACTTTATCCGTGTCTTCCACTGGTCTTAGAGCATTTGAGTAGTCTTCAAACAGTTCATTAAACAGCATGTGAGCATATTTTCCTTTGGCTGATGCTACAGCTAGATAACATAGATTTGTTCAGTACATCAGATTAAGCACTGAGCAGTATCAGCTCTTTCTACAACATCAAGGAGTATTTGCTGTAACTATACCATTCACATACTGTAGAATATCACTCAGTGCAGAAAGAGAAGTATACCTGATGATGCTATTAAATAAGGACAGCATTCACCTGTAGTGAATGAATAGCTAACTCTAGCTTTCCATGCCCACTGAAAAAAACCTCTGCATCCAGAGAGTCCTGCCTTTTTTGAAGGTAAATATCATTACCTTAATTTTACTGATGTCTTTCATAGGCATAGAGATTATTGACTTATAGCCACACATCTGCCAAGCTAAAATTAGAAGCAAAGTCTGAAGTCAAACCTGCTCCCAGGCTAATGACTTGTGGTATCTCCCTGAATGCAGCACCGATAGATTCATGCTATTTTCAGAATTTACTCTCTTCTTTTTTAACTACCACCTGGAAAAAGTCTGAGCCGCTTTTCTTCACAAAATTGGCAACTGTATGATGTATGAACACATCCTTGCACTAACACCTTTTCCAAACCATGTATTTGGAGGTGCTTCTTGCTATCCAGACTTAGTCACTACGGATAATTCACTGAAATTTTTGGTTTTAAACGACACTTTTACTGTTCCACACTGCTTTGAGCATCACAGTTTCTGTAGCCAGTCTCTGTATTACCTTTAGATAGATTCACAGGTATCCGCAAGCAAAGGGCAAGGACAGTAACACTCAAGACTTGCGCAAATGCCAGCTGGCACTATGCAGGAAGCAAGTGCTTTAGAGACATCACTCTGGTAACTCACAGTGACTTCCTGGACTAATAAGAGTTCAAAGCAAACCTTCCCAATTAAAAAGAAATCCTAATAAATCAAAGCTTCACCAAGAGCATTTAAGTTCTGGCTGTACACGATCATTCATTTTGTCTATGCATCAGCGCGACAAAGTAAAACGAAACAGATGAAAGGCTTCTGGAGCTCAACTGTGTAAGGCACATCAGGACAGCGGCTCTTATCTGAGTAAAATAAACCTCAGTGCAACATTTAGCTATCAAGCAGTATTCTCACCTTGAAGCATCACTGCTGTAAACAGCAACCAGAGACAGACTGAAAATGAGGACAGGCTATTTCTCTTCATTTCCGGACCTTAAGTAAAACTGTTCACTCAAGGGCACAAAACCGTTTATCACCATCCAAAACCAGCAGACAAACAAAAAACATCAAGTTGCACAGCAACATAAAGACACTGAGGCACCAAGGAGCTGCTAGAAGCAACTCAGTCCTCCCTCAGCAGCTGTCGGAGTCCTAGAGCGATCGATGGTCCTTGTCCCTGCCACCGCCTGGGGCTCAGAGGAACCCTCCCTCTCCCAGTAACCTGAGAGCTGCCTGCTGTGAAGCTAATGCTGAGGGAGAAGACAAACGGATGGGATATCAGTAGGAAAACTATATTCCATTATATCTTTTACTACAAATGTAAGATTTTGACCAATTTATGAAGAACCCTTTCACATTTCTTTGGTGGGCCACATTTTACAGCTCCTATGTTGAGCGATAGCTTGCTCAGAACCAGTTCTGTGGAATCTGTGGACCCTTATAAAAAAAGTGATCTGCTTCAGTACTTTAATTGGTATAGTCACACTGTGCATCACACACCCAATATGCCACACAGAAGAAAAAAACCACAGCCGTGCTGATAAAAAAATGTTTTCGCGAACTTTCCACGTGGAAGAGATGCAGCCACACCAAAGTCAGACAACACAGGCAACATTTGCAGTAGCCCAATATCGCTGTGCAGACAAGGACTTCCACTGGTGTAGACAAGTCTGAGACCAGCACTCAGCACAGTAAAATCCAGAGCAAAACTGGACTCCGCAGTAAAATGCCATTTGCCAATACAGTACAAGTTTTCCCAGATGAGCTTGACAAGACTTTACAAAGAATTACAGGGTTACCGGACAGCCCTTGCATTTAGCCAAAAGACTTACAGGAGAGAAATATGAAACAATACCACACCTGGCCTCCCATCTACTGCGACAGTAAAAACTTCATTAGCTCTGTCTATATTACTCATGTTGCCAAGTTAGTTTCCTAGTACCACAGGCATTTTCTTACAAGTTTCTCACGGACAAGAGGAGATGACTTCCTCCTTTCCATAGCCCAATCCGTCCTTCCTGATATCCTGCAGTCCATTTTGCCATCCTTCTAGAACAGATAACAGAAAACAGTCACTAAAATAGAAAGGTGAAAATATAGAATGAACTATCAGCAAAAAGAACCAGTCTAGAATAGTTCTGATCCACACAAAATACTATTGCTTTACTCTTGTGTAGTCTTTTGGCTAGAAGGAAGCTGATCCCTCCATACACACAATTTCTATACAGTAGCACTCCTGGCACTCACTGGCTAATGTTTGTGCTTTCTTGGGGTCTATAAATCAATGACATTTATGGCCAGACTAAATAGGTAAGCAATAAATAATTTCAGTCAAAGCACCTGTAATGAAATCCATCTCCGTCACTTCATTTGCTGAATTGTCAAAAGGGAAAAAAGTAGAAAACAGTTTAGAAGTCAAAAAGGTCAGAGCAGCCCATAGGCAGTATGTAATAACCTGCTTTTTCTGTGGGAAGGCAGCATATGCTGTTAGAGACAATAAAAAACAGCGATGAAAGATGAAAGATTTTTGGATACGGTCAGATCAGTGCATTCTCAGGGGATACCTTCAGTCTACAGTACATTGCCATTATGCCAGCAAGCAGCTACTGCTTCGCCTCTCTTACTGTAATTACAAGAGTGACAGGGGTACTGCTTTAAACATGCTACTATAAACACTACTGGAACCAAGGCTGTGCTTGCTTTGCCACTGAGACAATCTTTTGACCTGTTACACCAGCAATACGTATCTGCCAAGTAATGCGGACTGAGGTACTTTATTCTGCATAATGTGTATTACGTCTGATATATATATATACACATCATGTATATTAAAGAACCCTGCACCTTTGTTGTAATAACATCTTCTTGAAGGGAAACTGCAGGTCCTCAGAGGATAAAACCAGGAAGCATGCTTATGTGTTATTTACTCAATTTATTCTTATACACCCATATATTCCATATGTTATTCATTATAGACTTGCAAAGGGATAGATCATAACCTGACAGTTATGATCTATCATATATCCAGTCATCAAATACATCCAACAGTTGCCACATATTGGACATACAGACAGGCAAACGTGAGCACACATATACAAGAACACGCTTGTTATGTTTGAGATGCTGCATTGATTACACAGTGCTTGTAAAAATAAAACTAATATACATTCAAAATCCCTTTCCATATGAAAATACAAGAAATTTCACAATCTTAGTACGCCAGACCATTTGGCTTCTTTATGTTTGTTCACAAGAAATCTGATCTGTAATTTTAATCAAAATGTCCCTAATGTAGATATTTTGTGTGAAGAGTATTAACATTAATCATTGTTCATTGATCTGAGAGATTCATCTACAAACCCATGCTTCCTGAGAATATAAATTGTGGCAAAATCTATGACAACACTACTCCCAGATCAAAGATCCCATTTAATATTTGAATGGAGCTTAAATTTATAGTTAAGCAGTTCTCTGTTTTTACAGTAAGAAGTTCTGCTACAAAGTCAGGAATTAATATAAAGTACAAAGCAGCTTACAAAGATAATTTAAGAAGAGTCATGGGTGTTTGGAAGTTAGAATCAAGCCATTAACCTCTCCCAGAAATTATCAAGCCATTAACCGCCCCCAGCGAAATTCACAGTTACCTTGTTAGAGTATATCTGCCAGCAGATGGCCCTGTTAGCCAGCCTACCGATCTACCCAGCTATTCAAAACGATTTTTATCACACAGAAATCACATCGCATTTTAATCTACTTCGATTAATTTCGATGATTATTTGCCTTACATTCGATACAAGACAAGCAGAGAAAAGATGTTATTTTAAAGAAGAAAAAAAAAAAAAAAAAGGTAAGCAGAAGGAACAAAAACCCTTGGTGGCTGAAAACAGCTCTCGGGTCTGCCGACCGTATATGAGACCACTCACGAGACGGTTTCAAGGAGAGCAAATATATATCATTGTCAGCAACTGTACAGTACGAAACCATATTTAGAGCACAGACCACTTCTGCTGATGCAGAGAGCGGTTAAGGCCCACAGCACAATACCCAACCCTGCTTCCACATATTTTGTTCAAACATTTGACTTTGTGAGCATGCGTATGGGCTATTAAGGGAGCAGAACATTGTGTTCGTGCTTACATTCAGCGGGACAAGTGCATACCATTCACTGAGCTTGTACAACATTCACATGACACATGTAACTTTTTATGGTTCTAGACAAACACAAATGCTGTTATCATGACAACATTAAAAAAAAGATCTGAATTTAGTGTACTGCCATGTAAGGGAAGTTTGACTTTGCATGCACTTTAAGGACAGACTGAAGCGGAGAAGACATGGGAGAGATCTCTTTCATATTAAAACTTCCAACTTTAGATATTTATCTTAGCCAAACTATAAGCAAAGCAGGAAAGAAGTGTAAAAACATTTATTTAAAATTTTGTTCTTTCAATTAAACAAATCTTCCCTCTCCTGCCAAAAATAATCATTTACTCCCGAGGCTGAGGTTTTGACATGTACATTTTCAGAATTTTTTTTTAATGGATTCTTACCCTTTTTTGCATAAAAAGCATTAAGAGTTAAGCCTCCAACTGGAAAAGCTACAGATACTGTATTATCACAGGCCTCAAGGCCGTCTGTACCATTTATAATCCATCCCTTCATCAGAGAACAATAAAGAAGAACAGATTGGTTTCTAAGCACAGTTTGTAAGAAGTGTCTCACAGTCTGCTTCTACTTGCCTGCCTGCCAATTTTTCTCCCCAGAAGCTGTTGCGTTCACATTCTTCGCAGCATTTGCTACAGAATATTATCTTGTGATGGGGTCAAGCAGCACACTAACTCTTCAGAGTCAGACTTCTCTCCTTAGACTAACTGAAATCTTAACAGCATGGGTAACAACAGCTCTTCTTGCCAGCAGAATAGCCTCACTGTGCCTGCTCTGGAGAAGGAGAATACAGTACTTCATTTAGATGCAGCATGTTTCTCTCCGCCTCATTTTTTCTCACCCACCTACTGCCTCCTCCTTCCTTCTCTCTAAAAATCCCCTACCACCTGAAACCAGCACACTCATTCATATTTTCTTCCACCCTGTTGTACACATGGAAGATAAGAAATACATTAGGAAGCATTCACCATGTCAGGCCATGAGATAACGTAGAACATTAGCCACATTTTCCGGAGATGAGAAACCCTCATTTATATGTTACAGTTGCGAGTTTTTCTGAATATGAATTTTATTTGGGTCCATTTACACAGGCAGCTCTGCTGACCACCTCCCAGCACCTGAAGTCGAGAAACCTTTTGCCCCTAGAAGCCTTGTATTATTTAATGCGATCTAAAATGCAGCATTTTTTCACCAGGATGCTTGCCAGCTGACTGGTATTTTGTCTGGCCTTGAGAAGCATTCAGCATCTGGCAGGGTTAAGAACAAAGCTATTTTATAATTTTAGCTATCAGAAAGCTATTTTATATACCGCCCTTTCTCATTGGGATCATTTCCAGCTTTGTACCATGCCTTTGAATGGCTGTTCACAGGATCTGTGCTCTACAAAAAGACAACCTAGACACTGTTCCACATCACAGGTTTGCTCTAACAGGCAGTCTGATGCTCCAAAACAAAGTGGATTAGGGAAATAATTCTACCCTGTTACAAGGGTGCACACAGACTCAAGCATCTTCCTCTTTGTGATCACTCTTGAGCCATGGAAGACAGCACACTACCTCAGCTTTTGGAAGTAGAGGGAAGCCCTCCAGCTACCACTGCAGGCTGACCCAGAAAGCAATTCCTTTCAGCTTGTGTGTGCATCACCAAAAAAAAAAAAAAAAAAAAAAAAAAAAAAAAGATTAAACCGCTATCTGAAGGAGCAAGACAAAGGGCAACAGTTTAGATACTAACTCAAAAGTCAAGTTTCACTCTCTCCAAAATTCAAAGGATGGTTGGAAGATCCCTTTAAAACACTACCAAAATTCATCACGTTCACAAGGG